AAAAAAAAAAAAAAAAAAAACCCAAAGGAAAGAGGCACAGGGCAGGGAGGGGACTGCCCTCACTGCCCTGCTCAGGCCCCTGTGGTCCTGTTTGAGCATGTGGGTGTGAACCAGAGAAGGGACCTAGGGCAGAGAAGGAGCAGGAGTCTGGGGCCCCTTTCTCAACTCCACTCTGCAGGGAGGGGAGGGCAGGTGAGGAGGGGACTAGCAGCCCTCCTGCTCCGCCCACTCTCAGACCGCCCTGGCTGTTCCCCTAAGCACAGGCCAAGTCGCTGGCCCCTGCTGTGTGCTCTTCTGGGAGGCCCTCGGCCCTCTTGCCTCCTCCACCGAGCAAGCTCTTCCTCACTTCCAGAACTTCCTCACTGCCAGAACTTCCTCACTTCCAGCTTCCTCCAGGACTGGCCCTGCCTAGGCCTCTTAGTCCCGCCTCCCAGCTTTCCCCAGCAGAGCCCTGAGTGTCTGGCCCATCGTGCTCGGAGCACCAGCCTGCCCCCAGCCATTGAAGACCCAGTGTCTTGTTGGTCCTCTGGGGTCCCTGGGTGGGAGTCAGGGGTTGCACGGAGCAGGCCACCACCAGAGCTTACCTTGCGGGCTGGGCAGAGGTGGGGGCGGAGGGCTCTGGAAGGAAGGGTAGGACGGCTTGCTGGGGAGTGTGGAGAAGGGCTGGGCCTCCGGAGAATGGCTCTGGGAAGATGGCGGCAGTGGCGGTGGCCCGAGCCCCTTCAGGGGGCTGACCATGGGCGAGAGGAGGCCGGGCCCCAACCTGGGGGAAACAGAGATGATGTCAGCGGGCAGGGCCTGGGGCAGGGCCTGGGGCGGGGCCTGAGGCGTGGCCCCCCTCCAGCTACAGGATCCCAACAGCTGGCCTGCCCTGCCTAGGACAGCGCAGACAGAAGAAGAAGCATTTATGGCTGGTTATGTTCCAACCAAACCTTTCTGTGCCTTGTAAGCTTTGGAGGCTGGTGTTCAGGGCTCACAGCCAGCAAGGACGGGGGAAGACGCACGGCCATTCAAGTTGATGGGACTGTGTTCCCACCTCTACCACTCTCCCTGGCCCTGTGACCGAGCACATGGCTTAGTGCCTCTGAGCCTTGGTCTCTTCAAAGGGTTGCTCGCTCACCACCTGTGCACGCAGCTCACCACTGAGGGCCAAGCACCAGCCTCCCCTGCCGAGTGCCCGGCTCTCTGCCTCTGATCATGCCCCCCTGGCCATCTGGAAGAGGAGCCCTGGAAGAGCCCATGGCACCAACCATCACCATCCCTTGAGCCTTGCCTCGGCCCAGGCCCTGTGAGACAGGCGTTCTTGTGTCCTTGTGGCAGATCAGGAAACTAAGGTTCAGAGAGGTGTGCCCAAGTTCCTGCCAGCCACACAGCACTGACCTCACGGGTTATGGGGAGTACAAAATTAAAGCCATGTAGAAAAAGCATGCAGTATGTATGTTTGATACATTCTTGGCCCCTCTGTCAGTCACTTCCGTTATTATTAGGATGAAGGGAAGAAAAACTAGCAGGCCAGTCTGATGTCCAAGGTGGCCTTTTTCTTCCTGCAGTGTACTCTGAGGGACCTTCCCTGTCTCCATCCCTGGCCGTCTCTCCTCCTCTTGCATACCTCCTGTGATGTGGGGCTCACCACTTACATTCACACAGAGCCTGAGGGGAGGCAGGCCCAGACTGTGCTCTGGAAGCTCCTGTTCTGGAACAAGGCTGCAGTGCAGGTTCCCTGAGCCCAGCCCTGCCCATGCAGCCATCCACCCGGGTTGCGTGTCGTGGCGGGCCAGGTTCCATGCTCATGTGCCTTCCTAAGCCTCTGGGGTCCTATTCACAGAGACTGAAATGACTTTGGGATCAGCTGGACTCAGGGGCTCTTGGGATCAGGGGAAGGTTCAAGCCACTCAAGCGTTCGTGTGCACTGCAGAAGGAGGGAGAGTCTTCCTTTTCTTGATTGGATCGGTAGATCTGTTGGCTCGTGCACTGCCTGTTAAAATGTGCTGCACACTCAGTGTCACAGCGCCAGTTAATCCTTAGGCCTGTCTCCCAGGGCCATCGAGTGGGATGGGGTCCACCTATGTGCACCGCAGGCCATGGGGAGCTGTGCACATGCCATGTGTCCTCATGACCTGTTTTCCCAGCTGAGCTGGGCCGAGGCACGGCCAGGAGAGTGGCCCTCCTTCCAGCAGGCCTACTGCGTGGCACCTGCCTCAACCCTGTCCCATCTGGGCACCCACGACCTGCTCTCGCCTGGTTTCTCATCGACCCCCTCCTCAGGGAGCCCCTGCAGGGAGGGCCAGGTCCCGACCCCCTCAGTTGCCGAGTGCCCAGTGTTGGAGTCTGGCACACAGCAAACCCCTGATAACACTAAGAAATGGGTTTGTGAATCGCTCAGCCACTAAGCCCCCATATGAGCAGCACTGCAGAAGAAGAACCAGATAGGAAGGGGGAAATACATGCATCTTCAAAGTTTGTTTTCCCTGTCTCAACCGCGCCATAAATTCACATTCGCCACCTTCACAGCCAGTGAAACTGAACAGAACTCAACTCTCCCTGCAGCCGGCTCGAAGGCTGAGGTTACACGGCTCCACCTGTGCTCTTTAAAAGGAAGAAATCGTCTGCGGCTCCTCCTCTGAGTCATGCAAATGACTCCTAAATTAAATATTTTTGCTTCAATTGGAACCCATAAAAGTTAATATAAAACCTCACTGGCCTGGCAGACCACGGGCCTCATACCTCGTGCAGGACTGGGAAAAAAAATACCCTGTGCGGCGTCTTCTCCAAGCCAGGGTAAATAAATTTGGTCATGAAGTCAGGCCCTCTTAGCATATTTTTGAGTGAATCAGATAATTCTGTCAAGCTATTTAAACGTCCCAGCAAACCACGGGGGAGCCACGAGTGGCCGTTCCCTGTTGACTTTGGCAGGCCGGGGAGGCTGAAGGCCCTTTCCCCGCTGTCTCCTCAGGGGATGAAAAAAGAAACCCATTCAAGCAGGGCCCGGTGTCAGGCACGAGGGCCCTTCTCTCCCGCGGCCGGAGGAGCCGGGCGCCTCGCTGTGGGGTTGACGCGAGGCCCCGCGTGCAGGCAGGGGTGGGCGGGCAGCTGGGGGTCCCGTCTTGTCATCACTCTGCCTCCCGCTGCAGGAATTCCTGACGGCCACTTCTGCGGGCGGCAGGCAGGTGATGGATGAGGCGGGCGGAGTGCACGGGCGAGCCGGGACAGCTTCTGCGGTTTATTTTCCTTTGGCTGGAGCTGTCGTGGGGCTGGCGGGTGGGGTGAGCAGGTGGCCTGAGCGAGGGGGCGGGGGCGGGAATGGTGTCAGCGGAGGCTGCACCAGGTGACCCGCACCACGTCAGGCGTGCGGAGCAAATCCTCGCCACCTTCCTGGAGGAGGGTATTCGATGTCCTTTACGACGCAGGAGAGAGAGGTTGGGGAGAGCCCGGTTTTCAGGGTCCCCCTCTGCACCCCATCCAGGCTGCGTCTTCGGGGCTCCCTGCTCACACTCTTGGCCACAGTCTGCCCCTGCTCCGTGAACGGCCCCAGCTTGTCCCTGCACCCCTCCTCTCCCTGCCCAGCACCTACATGTTTTAGGCCACCTGCCTTCAGAGTGTTTCTCCTCCCCACCCTGAACTGGCCGTGGCTCACGACACCGTCCTGCACCCCACATTCCCTCCTGCCCCCCACAACCCCGTGGGTCCTCATCCCCAAACCCGACCACATCACCGCCCAGTACCCTTCAGGACAGGGTGCACCCCAGGCCTTGAGATCCCGCCCCGGCACCCTCTCCCCCATGTTCGCCACTCCACAGGACGGTTCGTGCTTCCCGGCACACACCACCCTCTCACCACGCCCACCTTCATCCTTGCTGCTCCTTCCTCCCACCTGCTCCACTCATCCCACTCCAGCCTCCCCTCGGAGGTCTGGTTTAGCATCACCTCCTCCAGGAACCCTTCCCAGACATCCTCCCCCAGCCCCACCCACTGGGCCCTCCTCTAGGCTTCCATCATCTTTTCTCCTTCCGTGCCTCAGAGGACGTGCCTCTGTGTGGCCAGTCTCTGTGGGTCTGTCTGTCACCTCCTCACAGTAAGCTTCTTCAGGGCTGGAATCACCAGAGGTCCCAGCACCGGGTCCGGGGCCTGCCCACAGGGACCCCGTGCTGGACACTGAGTGAATGGATGGATGCGGGGCAGGAGGAGCCCAGTGAGTGCAGTGGGCCATGGATTTGGAGGTGAAGCCAGGCTGGCCTCTAGCACGGGGAGGCCAAAGCCAAGGCCAAGGCTGCAGCCTCGGAGAGGAAGGGCAGGGAAGGGGAAGGTGCTGGGGTCAGGCCTCGGGCAGGTTTGATCACGTCTCTGCTGGCACTAAGCAAAAGGGGCAGGAGGCAGGTGGGCTGTGAGGCCTTCATCTGCTCGTTTGCAAGGAAAGCAGATTTCCGCTGCATCCAGGCCGGTAATGAACACATCTGTCGTTTCCAGGCCG